CTTCCACCACACGCCGGTACACCAGCGGGATGTCGGGCAGCGGTGAACGCATGCGGAGGCGGAGGGGCGGCAAGAGGGCAGGCCGGCAGACAGCCAACCAGCCGGGCCGACGGCCGGGCGGGCGAGCGGGTCAGCGGACCGTGACCGGGGGGGGGGGGAGCGAGCGGCGGGGAGACGGCGGGGAGACGGCGGGGAGACGGCGGCACGCACGACGAAAGGGCGAACTTCAGGGCGTATGGCGACCGGGACTGCTCGATGATCATCTTGCAGTCGCCCAGGCGATCGATCTCCGTCGAGAAGGGCCGGAGCATGGCCTCGGCCGAGTCCCGCGCATCCTTCGAGTGGCTGGAGTACAGCTGCGCGGTCAGGTTCTCCAGCGCGTGGAGGCCCTCGATGTTCATGGTCAGATGGGGCAAGTGCAAGGGAGGGGGAGAGAAAGAGAGGGGGAGGGGGGCAGGTCCCGCGGCTGCGCGCTCAGGAAAGGCAAGCCGGGCGGGGATGCGCCAGGGCCAACGACGGGAGGCGGATGAGGGGGAGGGGGGAGGGGGAGGGGAGAAGAGCGATGTGCGAACGGCCTGGCAGGCGCCGGCCCATGGTGCCTCCTCCCGATGAATCTGCCGGCGGGCGGCTTGCCCGGTGAGAAAGACGCGGCCTCCTGCGCGGCCGGCGCGCAAACCCACCGAGAGCCCCCCCCCCCCCCCCCCCCCGCTGGCCCCCCTCCCGCGGACCAAGATCCGGTCTCCTTCAACAGGGATGGCGGGAGCCGGTCCGGGGGGGGCGGCCGGGGACCGGGCCCCACCCGCACCTGCCAGTGGAATCCCCCGCCCCCTCAGCGCCCCCCCCCCGCCCAGGGCCTGAGCTGGCTGACATGCTCACGTCCTCGCCCCCCCCCTCCGGCTAGACCCGCACCTCGGCCGCCGGGGTCCGACCTGGCGGGGGGACGGAGCGCGCGGGCCCCGCCGGCCAGCACCGGACGGCGATCGCCCGGGCCAGGCGGGAAACCGGCACACATTCCTCCTACCCGAGACCGCGACCCTCCCCCGCGGGAAACGGCGCGCGCGTGTGCGCGCATTGGGGTGCACGGCGGCAGGGGCCCCGGCACAGGGAACCGGGGCTCGGGGAACGACCTCACACCGGTCCGGCGGATATGTCACCCCCCTCCCCCGGCGTGTGGGCCCTTCTTCTTTCAGCTCGTGGTGGCTAAGCCGTCGCGGGAGAGGAGCGTTTCCCGCCTGGCCGGGTGTCCCCGGGGGGGGGGGGGGGGGCACGGCTCCCGCGCGACTAGACCCGGCGAAAAGCGCCTTTGGCCCCATCTCTAGAATGCATGAATATGGGGCCATTAAAAATGTGCCACCTTTCCGGGTCTAGTCCCACGGTTTTTTTTTTTCCCTCCCCGCTCCCTTCCTCTGACAGCGCGGGCAAGCCTCCCCCCACCGGACGCGCGATCGTGGCCCTTCTCTCCCCCGCCCGCCGGAACACTGCGCGCCCCTCTCCCCCCACCCACTGGGGGGGCAGTCGCGGTGGCGGTGGCAGGGGGGGGGGGGGGCCTGCCCTGGGCCGGGAGGGGTGCCAGCGTGCGCGCGTGCGTGCGGGCGCGCGGGAAAGGGAGGAACGACATTCGGGCCAACTCTCGCTCGCCGGCGTCCCCCCCCCCCCTGGTTTGGACGGGGCCGCGCGCGAGGCAAAAAGGAATGCTCATTGGGTGGATCGAACACCCGACCTCCAGTTTACTAGACTGGCGCTCTACCACTGAGCTAAACGAGCCATGGGGGGCTGAGCCTCCAAGGGCCTGATAATCGTGGGGACTCCTTCACCTGCGGCGGGAGGCTCCGAAAAAAAAAACAATGGAGGCGGAGGGTATCGATCCCCCTGCCTGCCGCATGCTAAGCGGCCGCTCTACCATTTGAGCTACGCCCCCGTTCACATGGCAATCGCAGGCCGCACGCTCTCAAGACACGAGCGGCTGCCGTTCGAAGACGCCGGGGCTGGCCCTCGCCTCGCACGCGCGCACACCTCATCGGACCGGGCCGGACCGAAAGAATGAGACACCGAAGAAAAGAGACAGGCGGAGGCATGTGCCAGGAGGAGGGCAACACCCCCAGGGGGGGGGGGGGGGGGGCGGTGTATTTGGCGAGAGCACGGCGCCAGTCATGCCCGTGTGCTCAGGAGCTGGCAGCCGGCCAGGGGACGGCACAGGCCCGGGCCAGGACCAGGAAGCCCGTGCTCCGGGGCCGAAGGCGCTCGGCTGCCGCGGTTACAGCAGGCAGCGCCGCCGGCGCTACCCGGGACTGGATCAGGGAAAAGTGCTCGGGCCAGGGCATGACCGCCGTGCTCAGGGCATCGGCCACCATCGACGCCCGCAAGCTGGCCAGGTCCACGACGCTCCATGTGTCATGCTTGCCGGTGGCCAGGGGAGGAGAGGCATTTCCCCAGGGAGTTAGAGCACATGCCGAGGGAGGACAGGGAAAGCCGACCGAGGGGCCAGAAAAAAGAGGTCCGGCCCGAAATGAGGCATAGCCCAGCGCACCAGGTCCCAGTAGAGCAGAGCGCACGGGTGGCCATGCGACTGGCATTGGCAGGCGCCGACATGCCAGTCGCCATTGCCGGTGGCCAGGGCATGCAAATGCGAGATGGGCGTCAGCTGCGCGGCCAGGCACATGGCCCGGACATCCTGCACTTCGGGGCCAAAAATGAATGCAGCTGCACCGATCAAGAGCACAGGAGGGCACGCGCGGGCGCGCGCGCACGTGTGTGTGTGTGTGTGTGTGTGTGTGTGTGTGTGTGCGTGTGTGTGTGTGCGTGTGCGTGTGCGTGTGCGTGTGCGTGTGCGTGTGCGTGTGCGTGTGCGTCAAGGGGGGGGGGGGAGATCGTAATTAACGAGTCGTGTTCAGCCGAGCCCAGCAGCTCCGGGCAAAGGAAGGCCAAATGCAAAGCAGAGGCAGTGGCACATACCAACCGAGCCCAGGCTGCTCAGGAAGTCCGAATCGAGACCCAGCGCGTCGTCCGGCGTGGGATCCGAACCTGGGACAGCCCATTCAACGGGCGAAGGGCGAGAGAAGGGGTGAGCCGCCAGGTGGCGAAGGCAGGCAGCCGCGGAGATGGCAATGCCAAGGCAGTACGACGCACTGGTGTCCAACGAGGCCAAGAGGGCCCGAGTGTGCGGTCCCCAGGCCGGGGCCTCGGTCATCACCGGGCACATTCCCTGGCCGGCGGTGGCCAGCCATTGGGCCAGCCGCTCGCGGGCCACCGCCGGCGACCGCCACGAAGTGCCGGCCAATTCGGTGCCATTCAGCGAAGCCAGGGTCGGCACGCGTGCCGGCACCAGCCACCGAAGGTCCGCCACCGAAAGGGGCGCCGCCAAGCAGGCCCCCCGGGTGCACTCCGCGTGAGAATCCCCCGGCGTGGTGTCCGCCATGGTCCTCGTTAGGGGATTCCGCGTGATGCGCAGCGATCCCAGCCCCGGGCAAAAGAAGTGCAGTGCATCAATACAGTGCCACTGAGCCACCCGACCAGCGGAGGGGAGGAGCGAGGGAAAGAGCGCGCGCGAGGGCGAGGGCGAGGGCGAGGGCGAGGAAGGGAGAAGAGGGGACAGGGTAAGGGAGGGGCGGTGGACCAATGCCGAAGGGGGCTGCGCCCCCAGGGCCCGAGTGGGCGAGGAGGGCCACAGGCGAGAGGGGGCTGCTTGCGCACGCTGCTGATCTGGTTTTCGGACAGGTCCAGTGTGACGAGCGACCTGAACACAAAGGGCACGGAGCCATCCCCCGCTGGAGGTTCAATCCGGTCAATCAGATTCCCGGGCAGTAGCAGCTCTGTCAAGCTGCGCACCCGAAGCAGGATGGGCGGCCGTGGCCGAGGGAGGAGGGAGAAGGCGAGGGATGGGGTCAGTAGTCATGGGGGCAGTGGGCGTCCGAGTGGGGCCGGCCCGGCGGGGATTGCCGGCCGAGCATCTCCCAGGCCGGCGAGCAGGGGCCGAAAGAGGGCGAGTGGATGCGCACTGAGGGAGAGTGGCCAGGGGCTCCAGGGCATCCCAGGGGAGGTAATTGTACGCCAAGTCCAGGGAAGTAAGGTGTGCCAGGGAGGTCGTCGGCGTGAGGGCGCCCTGCAGGTGAAAGAGCCCGAGACGCGCCGCGTGGAGACTGACGAGCCGGCCGGCCGCCAAAAGCTGGACAACGGTCCGCCAGGAGACCCCCCCACGGCAGCCACTGAGTGCCAGGCGGGTGACAGACGCCGGGAGGGCAGCCCCAGGCGGCGGCGGCGACTCGCCGATAAATAGATCGCTGCCATGTCAAGAGGTCGGGGGGAGTAGGAAAAGGGGGATGTGGAGATGGCGGAGGGGGGGGGGGGGACCCGCATGGAGCAGGGCCAGGTCAGCAAAGCAACACCACGCCGGCCCATGTCGAGAGGGAGGAAGAGGCATGTCCACGCACTGGAGGAGAACCTCGCGACAGTTGGGGAAGGGCCCGAGGCAGGCCAGGATTTCGGTCCACGAGCCCAGCAGGCTGCCGGAGAAGTCTGCCAGGATGACATCTTCCCAGGGGCAGGAGGCAGGAGGGGGATGAGGGGGGGGGGGGGGAGGAAGAACAACAACCGAGTCAGCATCCGGGCGGCCGGGGGAAAGGGCACGCATGCAGGACACCCAGAAAAGGGGAGGGATGGGGGGGGGGGGGGGGGGGGGGGGGGGGGGGGGGGGGAGGGGGAGGCAGGCAGCCCGGAGGCAGCCCGAGGGGAATGTACCCGCGAACCGGGACAGATCTGCGTCCAGCGGGCCGAGGCTGGCCACGGTCGACCCGGCCAGGTTCACCTCACGCAGGATGGCCGCCCCGGTGGCCATCGACCGCGGGATGAATAGCTCCACGCCGACCGACACGCCGGGCCGGGTGGAGTCGAAAGCCGTGCTGATGCCCTGGCTGGCGGGACCCCCAGCGGCAGGGTCCGCTCCGCAGACATACAGCGGATACCGCCGAGCCAGCGCGGCGACCATGGTTTCGGCCAGGCCAAGCTCCCGCAGCAGAGCGCGATTGACCCGGGTAAAGGACACCGGCAGCGGGGCCGGCCGGCCGGGGCAGAGCATGAGGCAGGCGCAGGCATGCCCGCGTGTCGACCGGGCCACCGGCGGCCGGGCGTGCGCGGCATCCCGGCCGACCGACGTCAAGCTCGGCCAGATCCCGGCGTCCAGGTGTCGATCCAGGCAGAAGCAGGCTCCCGGCGGGTGAGCCGGCAGCCCGCCCCCCCGGCAGCCGGCGCATGGGCAGGCCTCGGCCAGCCACCGGTCCAGGCGCCGGAGCAGCGCCGTGGCATCGAACAGGACGCGCTCCTCATCGGCAGGATGCCGGCCATCCGGGCGCCGCCCACGCCGGCAGTCATCCCACGCAATGCCCAGGTAGTGCGAGTCCCCGCCGGGCGTGGGCCGAGCGCCCGGCAGGTCCAGGCGTCCGGCGAAGGCCACCGTGCCGGAATCGCGGCCCAGGCGAAGTCGGGTGCCGGCGGCGGGGAGGGTGGCTGACATGGTCGTGCTTTGTTCTCGGCTGTCCACTCCTCCGGGGGGGTGGGAGGGGAGGGTGATCGCTCGGGCCACAAATAAGGATGGGAAGGTGTGCTGGTGGGCGTTTGTGCGCGCCAGAGTGGGGGGGGAAGGAGGGGGAGAGAGAGAGAGAGAGAGAGAGAGAGAGAGAGAGAGAGAGAGAGAGAGAGAGAGAGAGAGCTTCCCGACACCAAGCCGCCACTTGCCCAGCATGGGGCCCGAACAAGGGAAAGCGGGAACAAAGGAAGGAAAAAGAGCCGCGCGCCCCGGCCCCCGGGACCGGGGCGCCACTCTCCCTGAAGACGGCGCGCCCAGATCTCGCCGCCCGGATGGCGGGGCGCAGTGCCAACGCTCTGATCGTGTTGTTTACTCGACGCCCGGCGCCTGGCCCCCCTCCCCCCCCCCCCCCCCGGCTGGCCTGGGCACGGCCTGCTCGGGGTGCGGCCTCCCCCGGCGGTCGTTCGGGGATCACACCGGCCCGGAGGGGGGCAGTCAAAAGAAAACACCGGCCACAACAAATTCCCCGGGGCCGGGGCGGAGCCAAGCCACCCCCCTCAGCCCTCTTCCCTGCCCGTATTCGCCCCCTCGTCTGCTGCCGCCGCCGCCGCCGCCGCCTGTCTTCTCTTTTTCCTTGCCTCGGCATGGACTCGTCGTCCCCCTCCTTCGAGGGGCTCTCCTCGCAGGAGATGGACTCCCCCGGGCCGCCGTCACCGCTGGACCCGGTGCTCCCGCGCGCCAGCTGGCCCCCCCCCTTTGATGGGGGTGTCCTGATGCCGGACGACCTGCTGGCCAGGCCGCTCCACTCCCCGGCCCCGGATGGCTTCAGCCAACTGCCGCGGCCGCTGCCGGTGCGCTTGCTCGCTCCCCTACCTGCATGCCATCCACATGCCTGTCTCACCTCCCCCCCCCACGCCCTTGACCCAGAAACTCAACCTCCCCTCCCCGGGCGATGGGTCCACCGAGGAGGAGGAGGGCTCTCCGAATTCGGCCCAGGCAGAGGGCACCCTTCCGCCGCCACCGTGCAACCGCAATCCCTACCTGCTGCCGCTGAGCCCGCACCTGAGCAGCTACACCCTGTATGAGACGCGGAATTTCCTCTACCTGGTGGGCACCAATGCCACGGAGTCCGTCTATCGGCTGTTGAAGATCGATCGGACGGTCCCCCCGGAGCCCATGGCCGAGGATGTGCTGGGCTCGCCGCCGGCGGGATCGACCACCGCCAGGGCCACCGCCACGGATCGGCCCACTGCCGAGCCGGTGACCCCGCCGCCGGGGGCCTCCCCGGTGGCAGCACCACACCCCTCAATGAGTGCCAGCCCCGGGGCCCCGGACCGGGCGCCCGGGCCGGGGCTCCGGCCGGCGGGCCAGGTCCGCGTCCGCCTGGGCGACACGCCGAGCGCCCCGCACTCGGGTAGCCCGGGCCCGGCGGCGGCTGCCAGCCGCATGGCCGGGCCCTCGCAGGCCCCTCCCCGGTCGGGTCCGTCGGCCGGGGCCGCGGCCTCGGGCCCAGCCGCGCAGACCGTCTCGGAGCTGATGTTCAACGACAATGAGCATGAATACTCGCCGCGGGAGATGAAGGAGGTCCTGGCCATGCTGGAGCTGGGCAATCGCTCGCAGGGCGGGCTGAAGCGCGTCTGCACCGCAAGTGGCCTGCTTGGTACGCCGCCTGCCCGGCCTGCCCGTGACGCACGTGGCCCTCCCTCCCTGGCCCTGTGCCTGCTGGTTCTCGCCTCCGCTGACACAAGATCAGGCTTCATCCGCTTCCTCGAGGGATACTACATGCTGCTGGTGACCAAGTCCACGGTGGTGGCGCAGCTCGGGCCGCATTACATCCACCAAGTGGTCGAAACGAAGATGTTCCCGGTCATGCGGCGAGACAGCATTCCCTCGCATCCGGATGAGACGAAGTGCGCGGCTCGCCGGGCCGCCCCCCTCCCCCCCCCCTCCCATTGGGGTCATTCGCTCTTTTTTCCTCTTCCTCCCCCAGCGCCTCCGGTAACTCACCCCCTCTGCCCCTCCTGCGGAATCCCCCCCTCTCCTGAAGATACATGAATGTCTTCTCGGCGCTCAACCTCGCCGGGGACTTCTTCTTCAGCTACACCTACGACCTGACCAAGTCCCTACAGCGTAACATCACACATGGCTGCCAAGGTATGTGAATGTCCGTGTGTGTGTGTGTGTGTGTGTGTGTGTGTGCTGCAAATGCATTCGGGGAAGAAGAGAAGAAGGGAGAAGCAGAGGCCTCCCAGGGAAGCAGACATCCCTCCACCTCCCCCCGCCATCCGCCGGCCACCTCTAGCCATGCTAACGAGAGATTTTTGTCGGGTGTCCTGCGCGTATTTGTATTGGTGTGCCCCCCCCCCTTCATATACATATATAGAGCTCGCCTATGATGATATGTTCCTCTGGAACCACTATCTCTGGATGAACACCTTCCCCACTATCCGGCCCAATCCGTGGATTGTTCCGGCGATCCGCGGCTTCGTCGCGCAGCACAGTCCGTCTCCCCGCCCGCCTGACCAACAGCAGGCCCCTCAAAAGGCCTCACCCCTCTCTCTCCCTCTCCCTCTCTCCCTCTCCCTCTCCCCCTCTCCC